ATGAAATAAAAGTATTGCAAGAAAATGCATTACATTTATTGCACGATTTATTTCAATTCGATTTTATTACTCGACGTTAAAAGTGCGAAGTGTTATTAGGTCATCGAGGGATATTTTTATCTGCTTGGACATTCGATTAAATGTGCTCGTGTATGGTCAATGAATTCTAAGTTCATTGATGGTCCATGAGCTAGAAAAGTAAACGCGAAATGTAAATTAATTTTGTAATAATTGAGAATTAGAATCATAACAAAATACGAGTTTATTTGCAAAAGTAGTATGAAATATCTTATCTTGTTCGCACGTAGAAAATGTCCAAATGCAGTTTTCAGGGAATGAAGAAAGAAGAGGCTTAATGCCGAAGAGGCCCCCACTTAATTGTGGCTCAAGAGGGCAACTACAGGCTACTGAATTATTTTCAAAGGTTCAACATTATGTTCGAACCTTTTGAGAATGGTTCTTTAGTCATATTTTATATTTTATTGTATTATTTCTTTGCTCGTCATTAATTTCTAGTTGTAATTGGAGATGATGGACCATTCCATCTCCTTGGGACACCAAAGTCGTGTCTAAATCGTCAAAAAGATGCAGAAGTTTTTAGTTAATTAGAGTCAAAAGCATTACAATTTCCTTATTATTAAATTTAGAAGCTTAATTAACGTTTTGTGAATATTAAAGTAATTTCTCTTTTCTTGTTTCGTCTTTAAGATTTTTCACTGTAATCGTATTTTATTAAATTTGTAATTTCTCTTTTCTATATAATGTAGTTCAAAAGTATTTTATTATAATTAATAGATATTTTTTTTTGTAGTAACTTGCTATCTGTACTTTTTCTTTTTTTATATATTTTTTTATGTAAATGTAAAATCACGCGTTTATATTTAATTTTATTGCTACGGTAAATAGAGATTTGATTACAATAAATAGAGAATTCAATTGAAAAGTGCATCTACGAATTGGACGATTCATATGTTAGGATACTTTGTATCACTTGATTGTATGATTAATATAGTTTTCTTCTTGTTACAGGTGATCATCGTTGGATTTAACAACAAACATTTTGAGATTTTCTTCTATTTTAATGTTTTAAATGACTACTTTATATATAATGGCATTTCTGAAGGCACTTATTTATATATACTGAACATAAAATATAATTATTTAAAATTCTACAATAAATATAAATTCGAACATTTTTAGATATTCACCAAAAATAAAAATAGAATATTGAAAGTTTCATCAAGAAGTTTGGTTCCTTATGGGCTATAAATAGAAGTATTACTTATTTAATTAAAAAATGTGTTGTCATTATTACTTTTTTTTTTTTTCAAGTGTAAAGTGTGTTTGTTTGAATTGACTGCGTGCAATGCAGTTAATATTGAATTAGTTGTAGAATCAGTGACCGGGCGAGTATAATAAGTTAAAATCAAACGCGAATTAGAGTCAGTGTTGTTCGTCGTATAATAAAATTTCGGTTTCGCGATAAGAAACTCATTTATAGTTTCTTATTTTCGTTTATACCGCGTTATTAAATTCACGCGAGGTGCATCGCCATGATGCAATAGAGCTGCATCTCATTGAAATGCATTGTAAGTATTCATTTGTATTTACATTTTATTCGATTTTATTTGATATAATTTTCGATAATATTCCTGATAACTTATCGGTTTTTTCTGTTTTATTCTACAGATATGACCATGTATTCTCTTCCTATCAAAGATGTATGATGAATTCTTTGAAGGATCTTCGATGGATCTTCTATAATGGCAAATCCAGTATCGTCTTCCATCGTCACACTGTAATATTTGCTTCGAAGTAGGAGTGTTTTTGAGCCATTGCAGAACTTCTTAAGCCGTGAGTTTTTATTTAAAGTCCCTCCAGTACTCAATCATGCCGAGGATGAAAGTTCCTAATCGTCGCGAGTTACTGGTTGTAATTATTTAAATAAATTATTGACGAGCACATGAATTATTCTTTTTTACGAGTTACTCATGAAATTTGTATATTTTCTTATATGTTTTCTTATATAATTATCTTATATGGATAAATGCATTTCTGAAATCACACACACACACACACACACACACACATGTTTATATAATAAAAATCACATTTAAAATTCTATTGCATTATAACTTTGCTATATATATATATATATATATTATCGAAAAATCTTATATTCATTGGTAATAAGCAATGTGTTAAATGTGTGATGTTTAGAAGTTTATGGTAAAGAAGGTAACCACGGATGTTTTTAGTATTTCCCATGATAAATACGTACCGTACAGTGGCGCCCTTATTATACCTGACAGGTAAGAACTGAAGCTCGTACCTGAGGTTATAGAAGAATTTTGTTGTACAGTGTTTTGCTTGTTGCATTTCAAATTCTTAACTAGTTTAAGATAAATTAGCCTAATGAAGTTCTTTGCAAACACATCGCGCACATTTTAAATTCTTTTTTACAAAATGAAAAGTATGCTACTTCTTTTACCCTTTAAAACACTTCCTGTCCCTTTAATTTTATTCATCCATTGATGGATCCTTCTTCATGTCGAGGGTTATTAGTTGTACACTGTTTTGAACTTTCCTCGCAGTTCTGTTACATATTTGAACACAACATCCCACAAACACGCATAACTTTTTCCTACAAAGACGTTATTTCTGTTTACGAGCGTCAACTAGCACAACTACTCATCGAAACTTCACGATGTTACATTGCAGATAAACTTTAGTTTCTTATCGATTATATTTCCTATAAAAGAGACAGTTTATCTAATTTACATAGTTTTTATTGTAGAAAAATACAAAGTTTTATAAATTATTTCTAAGCATTCTCCATATAATATATAAATCTTTAATAATTATTATTTTCTTAATCCTAACACCAATATTTTTACTTTCACAGTATCCCTTCTGGTTATTAACTTTCGAAGGGGATAGATATATGTATCCACTATAAATTTGATATGTAATTCATTGTAATCCCTTATTTTTTATGCATATTTGTCGTTAAAGTCGTAACGCGCTTGAAGTGAATAATGATGATCAATTTTAATTATAAAGAAAAAGGAAAAGTATGGTAAATTCTATTCATTTTTATATTGGTACAATCATTCTTCCTTTGAAATTATTAAAAAAAAAAAAGGAATTTCCCTTCGGTAAGGGTAGAACCCTACCATGGAATGATGGACACACTATTCCAGAGATGTCGCTACAATTCGTTGAACCAGAGAGCAAGACTGTTCCCACCACCAATCAGCGTCGTGAATGGTAGGGAACCGGAAGCACGGGATTAGGACGAGTCGACGAGAGAGTCAGTACGACTCGTGACGTCCTCGACGTCACTCGGTTATACTTTTTTCGTAAATTCTGTATTACGTATTATACACACATATATCTATACATAACATATAGATAATATATACATATATATATATATCTACACACATATATTGCACATCGTGTTTATCATACAAGTCAAACACAGGATATTTAAATACGTTAACCCAAATACAAAAGGTGTTTCTATCTATCTCTTTCTTACATGGATAACAGCATTTCCTATTCTCTCGTGTAAAATTATTCTCTTTCTTTTATATTTGTTCTCTTTGTATCTATCTGTCTCTTTAACTCTCTTTTTCTCCTTCTCTTTTTCTTTCTATCTTACTCTCACACCGGGTGTCCTTACCAAACACGATAGACAACTACACGATTACGACACCACTTAGGTTTGTGTGTGTGTATCGCGTGGCGCGCGTTTCCCACGCGTCAAACGCGTTTAATGGCTTACGTCTGATTCGTGTCGGAAAGAGGATTACGTAAAAAAAAAAAAAAATAAAAAATAAAAGAAGATTTCTATAAGAAAATACTAAAGTTCGGGGTAAAAAGTTTTGTCGCGTCGTGTGAATTATAATTTCCAATTTGTTTTCATTTGCCATCGTCATCTTCGTCATCTTCATCTTCATCATCATCGTATTGTACATACAATTGTAAAATAAAAGTACTTGCGTTTAGTTCAAATAGTGGAACCCCATCAATTCTTCGTTTATCATCGAGTGGATTCGTAGATTGCTTCAACTCGTTTTTTTTTTTTATTATTATCATCATCTTATCAATACGCATAAAAAGAAAATAAAGTTTCCCTTCGATATCAGCATATACGATACTGATAATTAGAAAGGAACATCCTAGAAGAGGAAGAAGAATAATATTTGTGAGTGTCCTTGTTATTTTGGGGATTTTATAATAAATAGTGAGAGTGATTTTATTGGGGAAAAAAAAAGAAAAAAAATTATCCAAAGTTTCGTCGATCAAAAAATGTCGACGCCTTTAAAAGCCGAACCTACCGGCGGTTGTTATGTCATCGAAAATTGGAGGCAAGATCATCGTCGAACCTGCTAAAAGGAAGAAGAGGAAGAAGAGGAAGAAGAAATTTAAATTACAACAATAACTCATTATTTCTTTCTCCTTATTTTTTTTCTTCCTTCATCTCTCTCTCTCTCTCTCTCTCCCCTCTTTCTATCTATTTATCTCTTTCTCTTTATCCTGTCTATCCATTTTTATCTATCCATCCATTTAGATATATTTTTTTCTCAAAGTATTTTTCAAAGTGCTTATATTTTACTCGATAAATCTGATACTTGTGTCTCGCCTGAAGGAAAACGTGAATTTCTTTTTGAACAAAACGAAAAACATCACACGAATACATCATTCTCGTCAATCCGGAAGTCATATGCCCATACACGCGCGAAAAACGGTAAATTTATACACCATTATTATTATTATTATTATTAATATTAATATCAGTGCTTTTTTGTGGTGTAACAAATTGGAACGATGTTTCAGCACTTTTTCTTACGATATTTTGAATATTTTAAAAAAGGGATTAAGAAATGTTGAGAATCACTATAAACTTTTATTCAAGTGTATTATATTTGTAGAATTTGTATTTTATATTTGTTACTTAAATATATATTTTTATTTGTTTGTTTAACTATAAATTTGATTATTATTAAAGTAAATAATGTTTAATTTTTGATTAGCTTCATGACATATGAAAATATCATGAATAGTATGCCATAATTTGTTTGATTAAACATTAATTGATGTCATTATGCTTTTTTTTCTTTTTATAAAAAAAAAGCACTGATAATTAATTTGTAATTTTATTTTTGGCTACAGAGATTAGGTTAGTCGCATTTACTTTGATATCACACCTTATTTCTAACTTCTAAAGTCATTTGACATTTTAGTAGCGAACATTTTAGACGTGATTTAGAATCTTCTTGTATTTCGATTTGTTAAGTAATGCTTTTTACCACTTCATCTATGTATTAGGGTTAAAATTGGTTTTTGAAATTTAGTTTTGAGAGATGCATCACGTTTAAATCGTCCAATTGAAGGGGATGAGGCAAAACAAAAGTTCTAGTAAATGCAAATTTGAATTTATTAACTTTGACAATTCAAAATCATTAGAATTAGAAAAAAAGAAGAACAAGAAGAAACAAAAAAAAAAGAAAAATTATTTATATACCGTTGACTTTGTTCGTTTCAAATCTCGAAGTATATATATTACGTGTGGTACTGTTCTGTTGGGGTTGTTAAAATTCATCTCTCTTTTCAAATACTCGAAGTATTTTTTATTTCCCTACTGCAGAAGCATATAAAGAAAAATAAATAAATAAATAAATAAATAAAAAAATTGTCAGACTTCAAAGCAGCTCTATATTTTTCTAATTTTTCCTATTTTCTTTCTCTCTCTCTCTCTCACTCTCTCTCTCTCTCTCTCACTCTCTCTTATTTGTCGTTTTCTCTGTACGATCGGACGCACGAACGACGCGATTGATTTTATTGGGACGCCATGTTTCACGATTTGTCGTTTTATCGGTGCCATAAATTTCTCCAACGGGATCCGTGTTTATCTTATTTTATTGATATTCCTGTTGTTTTTCTTTGCGATTTCTAAATGCATCTGTCAGACGGTGCGAAATCACAAAGTTAATTGCAAGTTACCATAGTCCTATCTCTTTTTATTTTATTCGTTTTTTCTTCTTTCATTTTTATCATCATCATCATCATTATTATTATTATTGTATTTTTTTTTTCGTTTCATTTCGTTTCGTTTCATCGTAGAACAACGTGTCCCGATGCATATTTTTTTGTTGGTTTTTGTTGGTTTGTTTGTTTGACCCTTTTTTTATCCTTGTTTTTATATTTTTCTTTTTCTCTCTTTGAGGGATAGAAAGAGAGTAGTATCATAGTGTGCCCGAGTTTTGCAAAGCACAGTAGAGAAACGATAGTAAAGCTAGAGAGCGTTAACAAACTCCTGTCATCTCGCCCGAAGTCAAATCGGAACAAACGCGACGCGTTCGTCCGTAGCCAATTTTTCCCCTTCCCCCATTTCATTTTGTATTTTTCTTTTTTTCCTAGCGAATCAGCGACAGAGAAAAAGATAGATAGATAGAAAGAGAAAGAGAGAAAGAGAGAGAGAGAGTGTGCGTGTATGTGTGTTATGATGTTATTGGAAGTATAGTGTTTCTCTCATGTATACAGCGACAAATCCTATTGGTCACCCGAGGTTATATTACAACCCCATCTTTTTGGCCCTTCCATCGATTCAGATACACTAACAACACCAACTCGATATTTCTAATTATTTCTGCTACATACGTATCATTCGTTAATATTTTTCCTTTTTATCCTTTTTATTTGTTTGTTTGTTTGTTTTTTTTTTTTTTTTTTTGCTGCGTTATATTGTCGTCGTTACGAAAATCTAGATGGGCGTGTATTTTATACGATTTTACGAGGATAACATCTTCTTGTTTGTTTCTTTTTTTCTTTTTCTTTACTAGACAATATTTTTCTGTTGGGATGATGCTTTTTTAATTTGTGTGCTACCGAACTGGTGCGTTGGCTTAAAAGCTTTTCGGGTAGTTTACAGACATTTTTTTTTCTCTCTTAGAAATTAATTTAAAATGATTTGGGGAGATACACATAATTTGAGAGAATTAAAAATCATATAGGTTTTAATAAAAAGTAATTGGATTATTAAAATCATCTAGAAATGTTTTTTTCACGAAATCTTTTCTAAATCAGTCTGTAAAAGTGAATATAGCTTTGGGTAGGATAGAATAGAATACGTATTCGGTTACTCGCGTAATGTATCTATGTATGTACTATTATGTAGTAGTCAAGTTAAAATGCAGAGTAGTTCTATTTCCGAGCTACTTCGGAGTTTCGGTCCGTAACGAAAGGACGTGGATCGTATTAACGATCCATAGATCAGTATACGGGTAAGATAGCGATACCTTTTCGATCCGGTCACGATTGCCCTTAACGTGCCACTGGCACGTGACCTATCGATAATTTTCTCTATCTTTCTCTCTTACTTTCTATCTCTTTTTTCTTTTCTTACTTGTTCTCACTTTTTCTACGTTTCTTGCTCTTTCCGTGTTAATAGAGGCATTTTACGGTGAAACTTTTGAAAAGAAATATTTATTACTTTTTTTTTTTTTTTTTTTACAATATTTACAAAAATTTATTTATTATTTTGTCTTATGCAACAACACATGCAAATGACAAGTAGTATGATTTATGATTGCTAATGTCAAGTGCAAAATATCCTAGACTCATTTGTTATTCGCATTTCACAATTGGAGAACTTTGGTCCATAAGCCGATCAACGAGTTACACATATATAAGTATGTCTATATATACAGATATAGATTCAACTGAAGCATAAACTAAACTTTCGACGTGTAACATGCGTTCAAAATACAATCGTACTTGTAGAACATACTATGGGTAAACATAGAATAGTATCAGTGTTGAAGTATGGGATGAAAGGATTCATATCTGATAGATTAGAAATATTTTATTTTTCTTTGCTTTAATAAATGTTTATTTTAGTTTTATACAATTGAAATGAGTTGTTGTTAAATAATTTATTTATTAATTTATTTAGCACGCTCATCACACGCGTTCACGTTTGATCAACTTGTTTTTTGTAATATTATAATTAACATTTGTTATTTATTTTTTACTATTAATACTATTACTATTACTATTATTATTATTACTACTGCTATTACTATTACGTATCTACGAATTTGTTCGCGAGTTTCATATATAATGCCAGTGCATAGCACGTTCTAGCGTCGATTCATTTTTACCCAATTTCACGCACCGCTTCGTGTACCCCAGTAACCAGGATTGTGGCTAGGGGGTTGGGGGTGAGGGGGAATAACTGCAGAGAAAGAGAGAGAGAGAGAGAGTGAGGAGGAAACTATCACCCTTCACGTGCACTACCACCCTTTTTTTCTTTCTCTATCTCTCTCGAACCTACTGCTTTTCAAAATTCACATTTTCACTCTTAATTTTCAACCTGCGACCATTTCAAAGCTTCAGTTTATATCTCTACGGTTTTTTTTGTTTTATTTTTTTTTTAAATTGCCATTTTAAATCTTTCGAAATCAAAACTTTCGTAAATATCGATTGATAGAATAAATTCGTTTATTTGTAATATTTTCCATTGATGAATAAAATTGATCGATGAAATACAGATTTCTAGTAATTTAATCGTCACAGATATAGAAATAGAAAATATAATTTATAAATAATACAAAGTTGTAAAGTGTTCTCATATTGTGTATTTTTTGAATGATATTTTTTTTGATTGTTTAGGGGTGGTGTTATTTTATCTTTAAAAGGTTTTCTTAATGACATGGGAATGATAAAAAATAATTAGTCTTCCAACATAATCGGTAGAGTGATCTGATTCGTTCGTCTGGTCAGATTTTTTTGGTCTATCTTTTTCTACCCATTATTTCCGTTAATCCATTTTCCCTACGGCGGTAATATCATTATCGTGGACACAAGCGGAAATGCTCTGTAAAACTGCAAGCCGAAGGGACGACAATCGTGCGAAAATTAACTGCCACCCTGTTTACGGCTGACCCAACCTTTGCATCAATTAAATAAAATCTCTTTCCGTCCCGGAATCATTCTAACATTCGTACATCCACACTTTTGTACATTTTTCTTTATTTTCTTTTTTTATATATGAAATAAAAAATCTTATTAATTATTTTCATTATTTTATTTTATGATAAATTATTATTGTTACTTTTATTGTTCCATGCATTCGTATACATTTGTAATATCTTCATTTTTTCTAATTTGAATTAGAAAAGAATTAAATCATAAAAGAAAAACACAACTTGAATAGAAAATAATTCTAGAATTCTAAATTAACTTTTAATTGATATTAATACAAAACTTTGATTATAAATCTATGAAAAAATTGTTCATTGAATTATTTTTGTTTTTTAACGATTAGTAGAATTTTTTTCTTCTTTTTTTTTTTTATCACAATTAACGAATCATGAAGAAAATCTTTAAATAATCGTGACAACCACGTACCTACTATCAAACTTGGCGTTCGTTCG